CAATAACTCGTTCACCTAACCCGTCAATCTTGTCTGCTATAGATAGCTCACTACAAGACATGAGTATACGGTAGATGTACGGTAGAGATACTGTAAGTCAACTTACAGCGTTGAGACATAGGAACCAATATTGCCATAGATGAGCCAATCATTGTACAAAGCCAGGGCGAAGGGTCGACGCGTGTTAGTTGTCCGATTTTGGGCGCCAGGTATCACGAGCTACAATAGGGCAAACTTTTGAGCTTTTAAAAGAAAATCGAAAATATCAATATTGATACAATAATGAAAATAAATAATAAAAATGTTGTAGAATATTGAAAATTTTGAAATAAATTTGAGAAACTAAAAACATCTACAAATGTGTACCTCTTTGTTTTTTCCATCAAAGTCCATTCTGTAGATTTTTGCAGATGTAATTTCAGCAAAATATAATTTCTCTGCCGAAAAATCAATCGATATTCGACTTTCACCGATGATCTCGTCTTCGACTATGCGCTCCTAATGCAAACTTATTGTCGTGGGCAACTAACACAAAGTTTAACTTACCCTTTTATAACCGCTATAGTACATCCTCTCAATTGATGGGACTGTCCCAGAGTTCGTGAAGAAAATCAGCCTAGAGACACTTTTTTTCTGAAAGTGTCAAGAGACCATAAGTTATACCCACATTCGGCAAGGATGGACTGCGATATCCCTGGGTTTGTTGCCCTGACCCAAGAACGCAACCCGAGTTGGAATGACGGGGTAGCTTGCTGGGTCGTCGGCGGACATGCTAAGTCTCCAAATTGACGGTGGAGTGGATCGAGTATAGTAGAGCTCACGATTTGTCGCGTCCAAAGAAATTCCTTCGACCTCACCAACTTCTGGAAAGCAAGATTTCGGGCGGCGACATTGAGCGACAAGGAGCGTTGACGACATTGGGCGACAGTAGGCGATTGTGGGCGACAATCAGCGATAAACGATGAATTGCTTACCATCAGCAACAGAATACCAATCATTATTGGTAAATCTGTAGACAATGATCCGATTCGATGATCGATCTATTAAGATCAGCTGGTTACGATCTGCATCGGACTCCACAGCTGTGATTCCCCTAAAATTCGATCGATAAGCATAAAATGCGTTGTCAATTATTCGGCTATCAGTACCTGGGTATATCCGGGTATCTCAGCGTTTTTCTAGGTACGGTAGTGTTAGGCGATACACTTACAAAATCGATGATGCCACCATAGGAGTACGATATAAAGGACGGGTTGGCTGGAAAGTACAGTAATGTTACAGTAG